CCTGGTCTCAAGCAATCCTGCAGCCTCAGCCTCCCAAAGTGCTAGGACTATGTGTGAGCCACTGCACCCTGCCCCTGCTAAATTTTGAACCCCTCTGCTCTGAGTTTAGACCAGGTGTCCTTAAACTATGGCCCATGGGCCACATGTGGCCTGTCGCAGACATTTATCTGGCCTGCTCTGGTGTTTTTGCCGCTGCTGCTGCCTGTCCTGCTTAGCAGCAGACTGGTCCAGGGCCCAAAGTGCCCATGTGTGGAATGTGCACCGCACTCTCCAACGGCCCTCCAATGATCTGAGGGACAGTGAACTGGCCCCCTATTTAAAAGATTTGAGGACCCCTTGTTTAGACCATAGTTCTATAACATAAAATCTTAGATACCATGGAGTGTGTGCGTATGAGTGTGTTTTGTTTTAAGGGCTGCTGTCTTGCCCAACAACCTGTGAGTATAAAGAGTTTTTCCTGAGCTGCTCATTATTCAGCCAGTCATTCATGAATTCATTCAACAGGTGTCTTTGAGATGCCAGGCACTGAGGATTAAAATAGGAGCAACAGAGATAACATCTCTGCCCTTCAGAAACTGACAGTTTATTGAATGAGACAGTTGTCCAACAGTTACAATCAAGTGTGATCAATCTCTGGTGACAGGACTCTAACCTAGGGGCACCTAATCTAGTCTAAGGTGACTGATCAAGGAAAGCTTCCTGAAAGAGGTGACTTTTAGACTAAAACCAGACTGCCAACAAACATAATAAAGTGTTATAAGAGTCAGGTGACAAAGCTAGTGTCCTTTTTTTACTTAGCAACTTCTGTGAAGGGTGCATAAATACAATACAGTGCGAGATCCCAACAGTAAGCAGGACACATTCCAAATCAAAGTACATAATAAGAGAGAGAGCAGCTGTACAAAATAACTGTAAAATCAAGTGTAATTCCTTTGATAAGCCACTGTTCTGATTTTTGACCAAGAAAAAAGGAGCTACTTGAAACTCGCAAAGCTTAGCTTTCTAAAGAAATAGATTAGGCTCTAGTATAATAGATAACCTCTAATAGCTAGCCTGTAATGGTGGTATCATCTTAAAAAGTCAGGAATGTTTGGGGACATCCTTACATTTTAAAACTACACCTTAAGAAATACAACAAAAAAAGTTCATATTGATGCAACTAGAAAATCAAAACCTGATTACTCAATACTCCTTACTCTGCCATTCTCATAAGACACAATGACCTCTCTTATGGGGTTGGTGGGATCCAGAAACAGGGAGTTCCCAAATTGCTTGAGCTGTACTCTTTACTCAGCCCACAGCAGTCATCTGCCTATTTATTACAGTACATATTAATGAGCATCCTCTTTAACATTTAATCTCCAGCTACATCACAGCTGTGAGAACACCTTTGCCAAAGGAAAGCCTTTAAATACTACAATGCTGGCAGCATTGGGTTAACAACTGAGAAGGGAGACCAAACTCCAAGAACATGCAGTGTGTTTATAATTTGAGTAGGACAATGGAAGGTAAACTAAAGGCTGTATAACCCAGGTAGTGTGAGTGGGAGGAAAAAATCACCTGAAGGAGAAAACAATTATATAAGATCATTCTTTAAAAAATTATAATATTGTTTCTATATATATATATACACCATTTACAATAAAATGCACAGATCTTTAATGTTATGTTTTATGAGTTTTGACATATATATGTATATACCTGGGTAACTGCCACCAAACTATGTATACAACATTTCCATTACCCCAGAAAATTTTCTCAATTCCTTTCTTGACAAATCACCTCGCTGTCAATAACCACTTCCAGACTTCAAACACCAAACATTAGGTGTTTTTGGACTTCATATAAATGTAATTATACAGTCCACATTTTTTTTAAATTTCAGAATATTATGGAGGTACCAACATTTTGGTTACATATAATGCCTTTGCTTAACCAAGCCACAGCTATAAGCTTGCCCTACCCCCATACAGTGTGCTCCATGTCCATTAGTTGTTAGTTTACTCACCCCCACCTCCTCCACCCTACAGTCCATATTCTTTTGTCTTTCTTCTTTTGCTTAACATAATCATTTGGGATTCATCCATGGTTAAGTGTATCAATTGTTTGTCCTTTGGTTGTCATTGTTGAGTAGTATTCCATTGTATGAATACACCACAATATTACTCCATTCTTCTATTGATGGATATTTGGGCTGTCTCCAGAAATGGCTGCTAAGAATATTTGCGTACAAGTCTTTTTGTGGACATATATTTTCATTTTTCTTTAGTAAATATCTAAGAATAGAATTGCTGGTTCATATGGAAGATGCATATTTTTAAGAAATTACCAAACAGTTCTTCTAATCAGTTATACCATTTTACATTCCCACCTCCAATGTATGAGAGTTCCAGCTGCTGTACATCCTTGCCACCACTTATTGTTGTCAATGCTTTTTATTTTAGCCATTCCATTGGGTGTGAAATGGTATCTCATTGTGATTTTAACTTGCATTTCCTTGATAACTAATAAATTCCAAAATATTTGAAAATAACCCTCAAAGAATAAATCACAAGGAAAATTAGCAAATACTTTGAACTGAATGAAAATGAAAATAAAATATGCCAAACTTAGGGGATGCAGCAAAAGCAGTGTGCTTTCAGTGCTTTATTAGAAAAGTACTTTTATTAATAAAAAGGAAAAGTATAAAATCAGTGATTTAAGGCTGGGCGCGGTGGCTCACACCTGTAATCCTAGCACTTTGGGAGGCCGAGGCGGGCAGATTGCTCAAGGTCAGGAGTTCAAAACCAGCCTGAGCGAGACCCCGTCTCTACCAAAAATAGAAAGAAATTAATTGACCAACTAGAAATATATATACAAAAAATTGGCCGGGCATGGTGGCACATGCCTGTAGTCCCAGCTACTCGGGAGGCTGAGGCAGGAGGATCGCTTGAGCACAGGAGATTGAGGTTGCTGTGAGCGAGGCTGATGCCATGGCACTCACTCTAGCCTGTGCAACCAAGTGAGACTCTGTCTCAAAAAAAAAAAAAAAAAAAAAAAAAAAAAAAAAAATCAGTGATTTAAGCTCCTACTTTAGGAAACTAGAAAAAAATAAATTAAATCCAAAGTAGAAAGAAATAATAAAAATAGGAGAAGAAATCAGTAAAATAGAGAATGGATTGAACAAAGAAAACAAAGACAAAAGTTTGTTCTTTAGAAAAATTATAATAATTAAATTGATAAATCCCTTGTTAGATTTATCAGGAAAAAAACTGAGAAAACTCACATTACTAACATCAGAAATACATAGAGGGGACCGGGCGTGGTGGCTCACACCTTTAATCCTAGCACTCTGGGAGGCCAAGGCGGGCAGATTGGTTGAGGTCAGGAGTTTGAAACCAGCCTGAGCAAGAGCAAGATCTCGTCTCTACTATAAATAGAAAGAAATTAATTGGCCAACTAATATATATAGAAAAAATGAGCCAGGCATGGTGGTGCATGCCTGTAGCCCCAGCTACTCGGGAGGCTGAGGCAGTAGGATTGCTTGAGCCCAGGAGTTTGAGGTTGCTGTGAGGTAGGCTAATGCCACAGCACTCACTCTAGCCTGGGCAACAAAGCTAGACTATGTGTCAAAAAAAAAAAAAAAAGAAATACACAGAAGGCTGGCCAATCCTAGCACTCTGGGAGGCTGAGGCAGGCGGATCATTTGAGCTCAGGACTTCAAGACCAGCCTGAGCAAGAGCAAGACCCCATCTCTACTAAAAAAAATAGGAAGAAATTAGCTGGACAACTAAAAAAAAAATTATATATATAATTAGCCAGGCATGGTGGTGCATGCCTGTAGTTCCAGCTACTTGGGAGGCTGAGGCAGGAGGATTACTTGAGCCCAGGAGTTTGAGGTTGCTGTGAGCTAGGCTGATAGGCTGATGCCAGGGCACTAGCCCAGGCAAGAGAGTGAGACTTGACTCAAAAAAAAAAAAAAAAAAAAAAAAAAAAGAAGCATCTTAAAGCTATATAAAGATTAGCTACAGGATAGCTGTAGTTCACCCACAACATTTTTTTTTTTGAGATGGGGTCTCAAATATGGTACATTTATAGGATAGAATATGTAATTGTTAAAATAAGGTAGAAACGTTTGACATAGGAAAATTCAGGATACGTTGTTTATTTGAAAAGTAGACTGCAAAACAGTATTAGGGAATGATCCTACAGTTTTAAAAGAAAAATATGTATTTATATGTAAGAAAAAAAGACTGGAAGGACATTAACCAAATGACAAAAGTGGTTAAAACTTGGATGATGATAGTATGGGTGATTTTTATGTTCTTCCTTGTGATTATCAGTATTTATTGCAACATATATATTGTTTTTCTAATACCAAAATGTTATTGAGAAAAAATTTAAAAATCTGACCAGTGGGCATTTTTGTACCTCTCCCATCACATTTCTTGGGAAGAAGGTATCTGTGGCTGTGGAATGTTCTTTTTCACCCTCAACCTCAAATCTACCTACCCTGGACAACTGGATACAATTTTCTCTCACTGGGTCCACGGTGGCCCTGCCCTTATGGTCTAACCTTCTCTACTTAGTAGGTGAGGCAGTACGAGCTTTGCCACTCACCTACTGACTTTTTGCAAGATCTTTCCCTTAGTTGGGCTCCAGATTTTCCTTCTCTAAATTCAGGAATTAGCATCAACCATCTGCAAGGTCCTTTCCAGACACTGAGGTAAGAAAACGGATTTGGAATCAGAAAACCGTGAAGGTAGATCTGAGAATGTAGGCATTACTTCCCAGGAAAATATTCCTTACTACTCTCCTGTGTGTTTCCAGTCAGATAACAAGCACCTCCCAGCCTGGGCTGGCCTCCTAGCTCATTCTGGTCAAGGGGTAGGACTGGGGACAGAGTAAGTGCTCAGTGAATTTTGTCTCCACCTCCTAAAGAACAACTCCATATATTGTAGACCCTTAGTCTGAAAGGCCAATCTCGGTGCTGTCCGCCGCACGCTTGAGAAATCTCATACCTGGCAGGTGCCGAGGCTGTTAACACACGGCTTCCAGAAAGGGATCTTCTTAAGATCCGCGACTTCAGAAAAGTCCTAGTTCTGCCACGGAGGAGCCGTGTGACCTTAGACAAGTACCTTCCTCCTTCAGGAACTTTGCAATGGCTTTAAGTGCCTCCTCCTATGACTGATACGGGAACAGTCAAGCTATCTGGAAAACATCTGCCTTTCAACTTTTATTGACCTCTGACGACGCGCGAGTGGGGCACCAGACGCCCGGGACTCCAGGGTCGCGGCGCGGGAGCACCCGGAATCCGCCCCCTGTCTCTCGCGAGATCTCCTTCCAGCGCTTTGCGGCGTCATCCCCTCTGCGGCCGTGGCGGCGGCGACGGCTGCGACGGTGACGGCTACGGCGCGTAAGATACTCACAGGGGCGGCCCGTATCCCTCCGCCGCCGGCGCGGCCCGGCCCTCCCTCCACCTGGCCCACCAATCCCCGCGCCTCCCGACCTGCACCTCGGCCAGGGCCCACCCCGCGCTCTGACGGCCCCACCCCGGCGGCGCCGCCCGCCTGCCTGCCCGCCCGCCCGCGCGTCCCTCCGTCCACCTGCAGCCAGCAGAAAGACAAGCAGTCCCTCCGGCCGTCCGACCCGGAGGCGCTTGCTGAGCCCGAAGCTTGGGCTCTTGCTCCTCGGCGGAGGGATCCGCGGCGGCTGAGGGGCGGCGCTCAGCTTAGGAAGAAGAGGCAGCTACGGCGGCGGCGGCGGCGGCGGCTGGGGCGGCAGCGCATAAAGGGGCCGCCGCCGGGTGATGCGGTGACCGCTGCGGCAGGCCCAGGAGCTGAGTGGGCCCCGGCCCTCAGCCCGTCCCACCAGACTCCCCCTCTCCCGAACTCCCGTATTCTCCGGCCGACCGCGATCGCCGAGGCAGCCTCAGGCTCCCTCGCCCCTTCCCCGCCCCTCCCCCGCCCCCGTCCCCGCCCCGGGGGCCGCCGCCACCCGCCTCCCACCATGGCTCTGAAGAGAATCCACAAGGTAAGCCACTGGAGGTCAGTTGCGGGGATGGGCCACTGGGCGGGCCAGCTGAGCAGGCTGCGGCCTGCACTTCCCGTCGTCGCCTCCTCCGGGCTCGCGGCCTCTTTGGATCCCGCTGCCGACGCTGGCCCCGCGGGGCGGCCTTCATACCCCACTCCCAGTGATGGCGCCCGTGGAGGCCCCGGCGCGCAGCCCGCGCTTAGGCCGGAGGTGCTCTCTACGTTCCTCTCCCGCTGCCTTTCCCGGCCCGCGTGGTAGGGAATCCCAGGGCTTCTCTCCAACCTGGTACTGCTGCGCTTGAGGGCCATTGTCCGGCCAGGCTGACCGGGCCGGGGATGGCGCTGAGGCGTTGGGCAGCCCCATCGACCGAGGTCGAAAGAGCTCCTCATCCCATCTCTGCTCCTTCTTCCCCCCACCTGCCTTAGCTCCCCACACAGAACCGCCTGAAATCGGGGCTGTTATCTCTGGCAGGAGAAGGAAGCTGTTTTGCCCGATTCGCAAGTATTTCTTTTTAGTTCACTTACCTCTTGGGAGGCTGCACACTTCGGTGCACCCTGCTCGTCCAGAAACTGTTAGAGTAAGAAGAAGTAAGAAGGGGAAAAACTGACTTATGAGGGTGAGGGAAGTAAAGGGAGAAGCATTTTATTTCTTGAGATGGCCATATGTAGTCAGAAACTAACACTTCAGTTTTGCAGGATTAGATCTAATAGGAAAGACGTTAAATTGGTAATGGTAGAGGTAGAAACATGAATGTTGTAAACCACTGGAGAAATTACACAAAAATTCCTTTCACAGTCTCTTCACAAAATGAAATTTGACGCTAAAATTAGGTGATATGTTCAGGGAGACCTTTTTAACGTAGAAGGGGTTTTACTAGATTTTCTAGTAGAAAAGATTTCTTTTTTAAATGAAGGGTTATTCATGTAGTTTTTGATAAGGAGGTTTCCCTACTACTACATCTAGAATATGGATTTGGTTTAAAGTTTAGGTCCCTTCTGCCCCAATATTGTAACTTCTTAGTGCCATATACTATCATGTTTTTTCTTAGAAGTGGGGAGGCATCACTGTTAATTTTTGTCTGGTGTTTCACTTGGGTTCTGAGATTGGCTGTATTAAACCTGTGGTTACTTAGTGAAAAGTAGGTCCTGAGATTATCCATTCTGAACTATGAGGATGGAGATGCAAGAGGAAGAGAACCAGTTTTCACCTTGCCCTAAACTAAGTCAGAATGCAGATTGATGATTTAAACACCTGAGCTCAGCAGTTGGTCCTCATTTCATTCTTGATGGAAGGCCATTAATGTGGAGTTAATCCTGTTGGTTACTATAAATTAGGTTAGCTCCTTACCAACTTCTTTTGACTTCTTTGATTTCTAACAAATGGAAAAGGGCTGACTTTAGACAATAAATCTTGTACTAAAATGAAGCAGGGTATTTGTTAAAAGAAATTTGAACCCTAAGCAAAGATATCTCGAAGAACCATTTAAGGGGAAAGAGCACACTGAGGAACAATCATCCAAGTAAATGTATACATACATATTTTTAAGGCTTTTAGGAATTAGATTCCTTATAGAATCTAATTGGGAACTTATCAATTTGAAATGCCACTTAGTTTATACTTATAGAAGATTGTGCTCTTATTTTAAAATCTGATGAGGACCAAGTGAGTATTATGTGTGATAATTAGAGACCAAGAAATAGCCTTTAATCTCTACATTGATTGATATGTGTGTTATAGAGACTTCTTTCGTGGAGGGAAATAGCACTTTGACTCAAGACATTTAAATTTTCTAATAATATTTGCTCTCAGTTCCATGGTTTCTTAAGTGTTACTACATATTTTCTGGAATAGATTTTCTCTAAAATATGCCCTATCTTACAATTTTTAATAAGAAAATCAAGTTTAGAAATAATTTGAACTTTTAAAATTCAATGTTAATCTTTTCTCCCTGGTTTATAGGAGGAGGAGACTTCCCCTCCTCAAAGTATGGCTTGAATTCTGTGAGACTGCCAGTAATTAGAAAAATGAAATTTAATTTTGGTAAACCAGTCAAAAAGATTTGTATAAACAAGATGGAGATCAATTTTTTCAGACTTTTTGTTTGACACCAGTTTTAAGCTGGATGGTGGACTTACTAGGTATGGATGAGACTAGTCCTGTCTTATCCTCAGTCCTACTAATGTATCTGCAATAGACTCCCCAGAAGACTTGCTTGGTTTATATACTTAAATCTTGGTCTTGAACCTTCCCAGTAACCATTTTCTGATAAAGTAATTCTACTTAAATATCCTTTTAACTTTAGATGTTGTGAACTGCATCTTTCTTTTTCTAAGAAAAAGCACGTTTGACATGCGGCATCTTTAGGAATTCAGTATCTTGTTTCTTTGACAGAGGAACACTATTCATGTCTGTGATTTTGACAGTCTTTTAAAGGCTATGTCTTTTTTGGGAAAAGCTTTTGATGGATGTTATTTTGATATCGTCTTAAGGTCTCCTGGCCCATGCTATAAGCAGAATGTACCAAAGGGTGTCATTATGAACATCCAGTGTACTTTCGGCCAGGGATTGGGATCCTTTGGGATTGTTTGTATCTGTACTGCATGGCCCCACCCTGCTATGTTTTGAGGTTTTCTGCTGACTTTTTAGGTCTTAAGCTTTGATTTTGATGCTTTGAGTGCCTGCCTCCAGCAGCACCACCCCCAGCCCTTTTCCAGTTGGCTGAATCTCATCTGTTGTGGGCTAAGAAACCAGATCACAGAGCTTATTAAAATTGGGTCTAAAATAAGATCCTGTAGGCTCTGAGTGAAGAGGGTTTCATGTGTTTTGTGAACTGTGTGATCTCTGGCTGATCTGAGACCTTTTTGACTTCCTGTTTTTCTTCTTTACTTTTGTTATATAGATTTAGAAAGCTATTTGGTGCTGTTAGAGTGCCATAATATTGAAAAATAGAGTTAATTTCTCTGTTCTTGGGAAGGATAAAAAGCTAAATATCTTGATTCTTTGAGGAGTTGAAGACAGATCAAAGTTAGGATACTACAAGCTTCTTAATAGTTAAGTGCCTTCTACATTTTAATGGTGGTCCTACTAGTTATAGTTAACATTGGTATAGATAGCTTTAAAACAAAGTAATGCCTGGATCAACACTTGATCTATTCTGTTTCTATGATCAAGATTTTTATAGCTAGTTTCTTTTTTTTTTTTTTTTTTTTTTTTTTTTGAGACAGAGTCTCGCTTTGTTGCCCAGGCTAGAGTGAGTGCCATGGCATCAGCCTAGCTCACAGCAACCTCAAACTCCTGGGCTCAGGCAATCCTCCTGCCTCAGCCTCCCAAGTAGCTGGGGCTACAGGCATGCGCCACCATGCCCGGCTAATTTTTTCTATATATATTAGTTGGCCAATTACTTTCTTTCTATTTTTATATAGTAGAGACGGGGTCTCGCTCTTGCTCAGGCTGGTTTCGAACTCCTGACCTCGAGCAATCCGCCCACCTCGGCCTCCCAGAGTGCTAGGATTACAGGCGTGAGCCACTGCGCCCGGCCTATAGCTAGTTTCTTTTAAGGCCTCTTAACCCTTTGCACTTGCTTGCTTTTTTCTCGAATCCCTTATTCTACTTGGGATTTAATTTTTTAAATACCCCAGATTTTACAAAGGCAGTAGAATAAAAAGGCGGTAGAATACAAAGGCGGCAGTAGAATAAAAAACTGGAGTTTCTTTTCATACAAACTTATTTATTTGGATTTTTTTTATATTTCAAATTATTGATACATTCAAAGAGTAATTTTAATCTCTATAATTTTTCATGGTGTGATATCTTTTGAAACATTCACCCACACGAAGACCTGGTTTACATTCACATGTTTCGCAAATATAAATCATCTATCTTCTTCCTCCTTTGATTTTTCTGTTAGAACAAACAGCACAATATTTGTGGTTTTTGTTAGGGTGAGGTATGATTATATGGAGCTTTCCATCTAAACATTGCTCTAAGTTAGTGGATAATAATCTACTCCTGGAAGTTAGTGTACCATCTCTGCAGTTACATTTTACTTGTCCTTTCTTGCTAATGAAAACAAGAAAAGATACTGGAAAAATAGACAAAAAATCCTCCCCCCCCCGCAGTGAAACTGAGCTGCTACTGATGCTAACCGTGTCAAGTCACACTCGACATCCGAGTGCAAAGGGTTAAGAGAAAAATAAAGTTCTCAATGAAATAAAGATTTCAAACTCTGATGGCTATAAAGGCCAGGCAGGTAACCAAGTGAGCAAAGAGAATGGTGAAACTAGAAAATGCATGTGCTATCAGATGATGGCAGCTGCTGTGCAGCTCCCTCCAAATTTCACCATTGCCAAAATCTGTAGGCCCAGTGTTGCCAGATCTTCCTTTAAAAAAAAGAGAGAGAGAAGCTGCAAATCCAGATTTTTGGCAACCGATTGAAATTAAAACAAAACAAAACACACTTTTTTGGTAGACACTAGTTTAATATGTGAATTAGAAGTAACAAAAGATTGAGCTTCATTAGATAATCAGGAGTGTAAGAAGATTAAATCATTTAAACCAGGGGTCCCCAACCTATGGTGAGTTGTATAGTTATTTAATTACATATTACAATGTAATAATAATAGAAATAAAGTGCACAATAAATGTGGTGGACTTGAGTCATCCCAAAATCATCCCTCCCTCCCTCCCCGGTCTTTGGAAAAAATGTCTTCCCTGAAAACGGCCCTGATGCCAAAAAGGTTGGGGACTGCTGATTTAAACCATTACTTTCTTTTTAAAAGTTTAAAAGTATTGCTTTATGTAGATGAACAGGATTTGTGTGTTTTTTTTTTTTTAATTCTAATAACTGAGTTTTTATATGGCTTTGTTTGAAGTTATAGGGAAAGCCAGTTTAATAGATTCATTGATCCCATAGTGGAAGTTTACATCTTACTCTTCATTATGATCTGTTTCATGTTTTGAATCATCTTTCTGTAGACTATACACTTTAAAAATATCTGAGA